AAAAGAGGTGTTGGGGGGGGGGGGGGGGGGGGGGGGGGGGGGGGGAGCTCGAGAGAGAGAGCTCGAGAGAGAGAGCTCGAGACGTCATGTTCGTCTGGCACTTTGCCCGCTGACTCTTTAGCGTCTTGGCCTGCACGCAGGCTCTGAGCGAATTCATCGGCACTGTAAGTGCTCAGCGCCGCTAGCCCTCTGGTGCGCCATACCTGACGTTGCATCCGCGCCCGCCTCTCGCAGTTCCTCTTCCTGTTCATGGCGTACGGCATCGCCAACTCGGCATCTCAGCAGTCCATCGTCTCCAATACAGCGCAAGGCACAACCACTGCCGGTGGTCTGGATCCTAGCCAGCTCTTGCTCTCATCCCTCGGCTTTGGCTTCTCGCTCGCCGTCAATGCTTGGTTGTTCTTCCGCGTCAGCGGAGGTCTCTTCAATCCGGGTGAGAAAAAGTCGAGACTAGTGCTAAAGTGCCTTTTTTTTTTTTCATCGTTGTTGCTCACGCACCTCTGCCATGTGCTGCACAGCCGTCACTTTTGCTCTTCTCCTGACTGGCACTCTGACGGTCGTGCGCGCCGTCATCCTCGTCATCGTACAGCTTGCAGGAGCTATTGCCGCGGCAGGAATGGCTCAAGTCCTCATCCCTGCTGGTATTTCGGTTCGCACAAGGCTGGGCGCCCAGACGACGATCGCCCAGGTGCGTCGCGTCCTTGCTTGCTTGCCGATGTTGCATCCATCCAGTGACTGCCATTCTGACACGCATCATCCACAGGGCTTCTTTATCGAGTTCTTCATGACTGGACAACTCATCCTTGCCGTCTTCCTCATGGCTGGCGAGAAGCACAAGGGTGAGAGTCCATGCTGGCAGTGCGTTCGCACAGCACAGCCTTGACTCACTTGCCACTTCTTCTTTCATTTTCACGGCGATAGGAACATTCCTGGCCCCCGTCGCCATCGGCTTGGCCTTGTTCATTGCCGAACTCTGGGCCACGTCGCTCACCGGAGGCTCCTTGAATCCTGCTCGCACGCTCGGACCCGACGTCATCGCCGCCTCTTTCGACGGCAGTTCGTGGATCTACTATGCTGCTCCAATGTCAGCAGCCATCGTAACTTCGCTAGTCTACAAGACCTTTACCTGGCTCAACTATCAGACAGTGGTGCCAGATCAGGACGGAGATGGGGTGCATCTGCTCATGAGGAACGCGCAAGGCCAAGCTACCGGCTACGTCGATCAGGTCACCGAGGCCGATGCGCCAGAATTGGAGAGGATGAGAGAGAATCAAGAATTGTCCAGAACTTCCACCATCGATCCGGCCGTCTCGGGCGTGGCGGTTGCAGGCACGGCGGGCACCAGCGCTCCAGTCGCGGCCAGCGCAGTGGGAAGCCAAACGCCTCCTCCTCCTCCTCCTCCTCCTCCTCCTCCTCAACTTCCACCCGTGCCTCTTCAAGCTCCCGTCGCCTCTCACATTAGCGCGCTCGAGAATGTGGGCGTGTCGCCTGCCAAAGCTGCTTGATCTCGCTTCCGCTTGTTTTGCTCTTCCCTTCTCCCTCCACATTTCTCCATCGCTTTTCCCTCGTCTCGGTCTACGCTTTCTTTTGCTTCGCTGCACTGCACAGCACGGCTCGGCACGGCTCGCTGACCGCCGGCTCCCTGCTTCTCCCTCCGCAATGTCGTGCCTCCTCTTCGATGCTCTCGCACCGCATACACATACAACCCCAACGC